ACCATCCCCCACACACCATGTCCCCAAGTCCAATACGCTTGGCAACATCTCGAAAAGTCCCCATTTCCAGAGCCTCCAGCCTGGCCCAAACTAGCCACAGCTTCCCCCTTCCTCAGCCACGCCACGGGCCCCCAGTGTAAGCTCTTACCCGTCCTATCTGCCAGGACACCAATTCTGTCCCTCCTTGGTCAAAAAGCTGCTAGTGACCGCAGGCCTACAGGCAGGGGTGAGGCTCAAAATATGCTGTCTGGCATTAACCCTCCACTTGCTCAGGTCATGAGGTAGTGCAGGGGTGTTGGGGCTGGGCAAGCCCTTGCAGGGCTGTGGGCAGTAGTTCCAGAAGTATTTAAGGTTAGCATCAACTCTGCCTTCAGACAAAGCCCAAGTCCTCGGCCTGCCATCAAGGCCCTCCCCGTTGGGGCTCACCTGACTTCCTTCCTCACTCCCATCATGCTGTTCCAAACCGATGGCCCTGCTGGTCACTGAGCACGCCTCTGCTCCATGTTCCATACCTCTGCACTCACTGTACTTGGCTCTGGCTAACTAGAATGTTCTTTGCACCTTGCTCAAACCCACTGCACTGTCCATGCTTCCAGACTCAACTTGTGGAAGCTACCTCCCCACGCCAGCCTATTGTTCAGTGAGTTATTTCAACTCTTGGCGTGAGCCTAAACAGCCTGTGACGTCTTGATTATAAGCACAAAGTTACTTAAACGCTCAGAGACCTGTGCTTAGTCCCTCCAGTTAGTGTATCACCTCTGTAGGCATGGGGACTGCAGCACCCTAGAACAGGGCACACGATGGAGCAGGTAGCGTCAGTGCACAGCTACTGCTTGGGCTGGTGGGAGTTGGGCACCAAACTTTGAGGCAGGTGACCTCTGAACTCCCCAGCACAGGCGCTCCACTGCCTAGGGCAGTGTTCCTGGGCTCAGAGCCCTCACGGTCCCCTCACTCTCATCCCCCACCTTAGCACGCAAGACTTGTGCCTGTCAAGAAGCTTCCAGGTCCAGATTCTTTCCTAATCAAAGTGCTGAAGTAGCTAATCTGAACAGCTATCACCTATGCTGACGTAGGTATGGGAGTGGGCCAGAGGGGCGCCTCCGGGAACAGGTGCATCTTAACCAGGGTCCTGCAGCAACAAGTCGGCTTTTGCAATCGTTCAAGAGAGTCAACAGTTGAGCCCTCCCTCGAGGGTAATTCCTGCGTGATTTGAGGGCTGTGTGTTAGCCACTAGTGTATCCCCAGAGCCTAGCGCAGTGCCTGGCACACAGTAGGTGCTCAATAAATGTATCTTGAAAAAACAAGCAAATCCAGATTCTAATTACAGGGCCCTCTGCCTGTAATTACCATGGCAGGTGAGTGGAGACGGAGCAGGACAGTCCCAGCCAGGGAGCTCTCTTAGCTTTTTCACTGCTGGCAGCTACCTCCTTTGCCTGTCTCTATAGTCATCCCCGAGACAACAGGGAGCATAAGGAGCCCAGGGCTGCTTCCCGTTGTGCCTCGCTGCCACCAGGGGCCACAGGGACTCCTCAACTCCTGCTCGTTGGCACACTGCGTACTTCCAGGAACTGCTACAGCACCATTGCCTCATCTCTGGGTGGTACTAAGTGGTGGAAATGTAAGCTCCGGTGGGTGCGGCGAGACAAGAAATTTTTCTGAAGGTCACAAGTCTTCCTGCACCCCCCGCACGTAATTTAAACGAGGCACTTGCTCGGGCTTCAAAGCCCCTGCAGTTGGGGAGAGCGAGCCCACCCGGTTCCAGGTGGTCGCAGCCGCCCAGAGCCGCGGCCCTGGTACGCCGGACGTACCAGCGCCGGCTTCCAGTAGGTGGCGCTGTTGAGCCGGTGAGGGTGCGCGCGGGAAGCCCCGCGGAGCCCGGGAAGGGAGAGGCGGCCGGGGCGGGGCCTGCCGCTCCGGACGGTGGCCGCTGCGACCAGGAGCGCGGCCAGCCTCGTCCCATCCCTCACCCATGTCCCTCCTTCCCCAGCTGTCCCTGGTGGCTCCAGGTACCACCGACACCCTCCGTAACTCAGGAACTTCGAACTTTTCCCTGCCCCCCTCCACTTCCCAGGGGGTATTTACCAAGCCACTGAATGCCCTCTCCCGATTGGCCAGTCGCGCTTTGGCTCCACCCCCGGAGGGCCCCTCCCCCAGCCGCGCGGACCAGCAGGTGAGCACGCGGCGGGGTAGGCCTGCAGCGTGGGCCGCGCGAGTGAGCCCCAGGCCCCGGCCGCCGTCCCTGTTGGCCCACTCCCCACCCCGGCCTGCCCTTAGCTACTTTCACGCGCCGCTGCCTTTTGCCTTGAAATCGGAGAGTGATGGAGGCGTCCGTGAATCCCGTTTGCCAGCGGACGGCCCTGACTCCAGAGGGCGGGCGTCCGCACCCAGCGGCCTGACGCTGCGACTGGCCAGCTCCCGGCGGGATGCGGGATGGAAATCCGAGCTCCGGGGAACACCTGGAGCCCCAGCCCCACCGGCCAGAAAGACCCCCCAGGGCCAAGCCCTTAAGGCCTCCGGTAGCAGCTAAGCAGGATGCTCTTGGGGTGGACCCCATCCCTAACACACGCACGCGTGCACACACACCCCTCTTACCGAAGGCGGGACACAATAAAATACCCAACGGGCTTCCGGGTTAAAGGGGCAGGAGTTCACTGCCCAATTCTCTCTCACTCTCCCCCACATCAAATAGGGATGCCGTCACTGTCCATTCTCTGGGACTATGGTGTCGCTCCCCCTCTTCATGGAGGAACGACACCAAACCCTGCCTAGGCTTCATATCCGAGTCACGGCACCATTATGTCGCTCCCCCTCTTCGTGGAGGAGCAACACAGGACCCTGCGCTGTTCTTTCGTCTGCTCGGCCCTCCCCGGGTTTGCTGCTGGTTCTTCCCGGGTTGGCTACTATCCCTTCCACCTCCGTGGAAGGGCAGTTCCCCCTGGCCGCATTCCCCACTTCCGCAGGGGAGCGGCACACCGCCAGCCGGTTCTCTCGGGGGCTGCACGGGTTCCCTTAGATGTTCCCCATAGATGTTCCCGGTGCATGCCGTTTCTCTCCTCCTTTATAGTCCTCCTCCGCCAATCCCAACTCGGCTGCCCACACGCCGAGTACGCTGCTCTCCAATCAGGAGCAAGTCCTACAGTTTATTGGTTGAACTGAAGGCAGCTGGGTAGAAGCTGTTTTCTCCTCTCCCAGCGCCATATTGTAGGAGAGCAGATGCATAGAATAAGTCTTAATTCCAGTAACAGTCTAGTCCGAGCTGCTCCCCACAGAGGAGAGCAGATGCATAGAATAAGTCTTAATTCCAGTAACTTAGTCTAGTCCGAGCTGCTCCCCACACTATGGAGACTTGAACAGGGCGTTTCTACCCCAGAGAGGAACAGCCCTGGTAAGACCATCATCAGCAACACGCTTGTGACCTTGGCAATAACATCGGCTCAACAGCCACGCTTCATCCTCCGCCTGATTCTCCTCGGGCCGTGCGGTGCTCACTTGGGCCCTGTTTGCCAGATGGAGCAATAGAGGCTTGGAAAGATTTACTTGTCACCCACGGCCAGCCAGCTCCCTCCCCTACACATTAAGATTTAGATCATTCTAGTAAGAGGCCACTGAAGGTCCTCACTAGGTTTCCTCACAGCCCACGCACCACCGGCATCCATGGCACAATGGCAGTGGGGCTCCAAGTGAGGTGCAACTGGAAAGCAACAAAACTCCCACCCCAGAGCCCGTGGCCTTGGGCTCTCTTTGGTATTCTGGGTCTAGTTGGACCCTTACTCTCGCCGCGTGGCTTTGATGACCTCTGCTCGGCTGACTTCTGCGCTGCAGGAGCCAAGCAGGATCCATCTGTCGCCATCAGGAGCACTACGGGGTAGTTTGGGAAGCTGAGAAAGGCAGGTATTGGGGAAGGGCCTTGGCATCAGAGAGCGGGCAGAATGGCCATGAGGAAACTTAATGCTGGGGCTCAAACACGAGGCAGCCCCTACACATGGGCACGAAGACCTGTGCTCAGGGCCGCTTCCCAAGCTCGAGCAAATCCCGCAGCTCCGCACTGCCTTCTGCATGCAGCTCAGGCCCCTTGGTCTACTCCCACAGCGCTCTTCGGGCACTTTGAGCCACAGTGAAAGGCCCCAAGAATCTGTCTGAAAAGCGAACCAGGAGGGAAGGGAAGTGGTTTCCTTAAGGAGAATGATTCTCCAAGGCCACCAAAACTGAGGGCCCCTCCCTCCAATTCTACTGCTCCTAAGGCAGACAGGGAATGTTTGCACGCACGCATGCACGCACACACACACACACCACACATACAGCAATGCAATGTTGAGTCAGATACTCCATCTCCTCTACCAGCCCAGCCCCAGGATCTGCCCCTGCATTTCATTTCCCTCCCAGATTGTGACTCAGTGGAGCCAAATGTTCGCTAGCCACTCCACCCTGCATCCCTTCGTCCCCCCGCTCCCCCGGGGACCTGAACTGCAGAACAGGGTCCTGGGTGGCCCCGTTTGGGGAACTGGCATCCCCAGCTTCCTCAGAGCCACAACCAGGGCAAGAGCTTTTCAAAAAGAGAGACGGCAGACAGAAGCCCTGACACAGGTTTTTTCAGTATGCAAGTGTTTTTGACTCCACAACCATTTGCTTCAAATGAAACAAAACGGGCAGCCAGAAATCACACCCAAATGCAAAATGAAAAAAAAAAAAAGGTAAAGGCAAACATACAACATAAACCACACAATACTGGCAACCTCAACAAAATCAAAAATTAAAATTCAAAACCCCTCAACTTTATATATATATATATATATTTTGTTTTTGTTTTTGTTTTTTAAAGGGAAAACAATTGTTCAAAACCAACTGGGCAGTATGGAGGGGGTGGGGAGCAGTCCTACAGAGGGGGGCCCAGAACTTCCCCTGGGGAACAGACACAATACAAAGAAAATAACCACCAACGCTCCGGCATGGGTTCGGAGCCTCCAGAGAACAGATTGTCCCATCCTCAAACTGGCTTTTTTTTTTTTTTCCTTTTTTTTGTCTTTTGTTTTGTTTTGTTTTTCCGTTTTCTTCTTTTGTTGTTGTTGTTTTAGCACCTGTACAATAAAACTGTACCATCTCCAACCAGGGCCAGCCACTGCAAGGCCCTCCCGCCTTTGAATGGTACAAACTCTCTACAAGGATTGTTCGGAAAAATAGCCATTGGTAGAAAAATAAGGACGACAGCGGGAAAGACAGCGCCGCGCTGCGCCAAGCCACGCCACGGCGGGGGGGGGGGGGGGGCGGGACAGGGAAGCAATCCTGGATCCTTGGCTCTTCTCTCTCCCTCTCCCGCATAAACCCAGCACTGGAGGCCCAGAGCCTGGTGGGAAAGCCGGCAGGGGCCACCCGCTCAGCCCAGCCGCCCCCGGGAAGGAGTGGAGCGCGGACTGGATGCCAGCCTCCTGCTCTTGCCTGGGAGACAGCTGATCCTGGATCTCACATCTGTGCAGGTGCCAGGGGGAATCCGGGGGAAGCGGGAGAAAAGAGGAGGGAGGGGAGAGAGGAAAGGGGTACCAGGGGTGTGGGAAGGGGTAGAGACGGGGCACGAGGGCTGGGAGGTGCGAGGCTCAGTATGGGGGGGCGGTCACAGGAAGGGTGCAGGAAGAAGCCCCCATTGTGCACTCTGAGGGGAGCAGTGAAGAAAGTGAGCGGCGGCACTGGGACCCCTCAGACCCACCCTCCAGGCTCCTCACTGCCACAGGGAGACAGCCGGGCTGCTACAAAGGACAGGGGTGAGCAGGAGGAGAACCTGGGGGGGGGGAGCACCAAAGCCTCGGCATGTACCCCCAGCTGCATCAGACCCAGCTGAAGTCCCCCCACCACGCGTCACCCCCCCAGGGGGCCGGGGGGGGACCGACCTGGGACTAACTTGGGTCAGAGGGAGGGAGCAGCCCTGGAGCTTATCGAGAAAGAAAAGGTCAAGAACATCCCTCAATACAACAAAGTTGTCTCAAATCGTCACAGTGATACAGACTTATCAGAAACCAAGGAAACAATACAAATTAAATACTAATAAAATAAATACTATGGAAGACAGAAGAGCGCAGGGCGATGGGGGGAGGGGAGGGCACTCAGAGATTTTGGGCTTTTTCTCGTTTCTCCTCAGGCCCCGCGGCCATCCAGGGCCCAGGTTTGGTGTTGGTCACACACAAGGAGGCCAGTCCAAAGGACCCTGGCGCCACCTCCCACCCCACCCCCATCCCCGGGACCTCCTCCTGTCCTCGGACACGGAGTTCAACTTTCCACCCCCATCACCAACCACAACAACAATGACAGGGAGATGAGAACTAATTGGAACCCAAAAACAAACAAACAGATCCAGTCACTAATGCTGGCATTAATAAGGCGGCTTCTTGTTGGTCCGTATTATTGCCTCATTCTGCAGTCTGGTGCTCGGTGGGGGGAAAGACATGGGAGGTGGGGGGAGGGTGAACTTGGGAGGAGAAAGAAGAAAAGGGCTGGGGCTGGTTCCCTGGTCAGCTGCTCCAAGACTGGAATTCCACCTCGGAGCCCAGGAGCCTGAGCAGGTCTGGCTCATAGCGCACCAGCTCCACAGTCTCCGAGGCGCCTGGGGGGGATCTGTCGTCCATGCCCGCGGGCCGCTCGGCGGGGCTCAGCAGCTGACTGGAGGCCACCTGCCGGAAGAACTCAGCCTTGGGCAAGGTGGTGATTTCAAAGTGCGGGAATCGGGCCTGAAAGATCCTCGAGGAGAGCTTCAGCCTCTTCAGGACGTCGGTAAAGAGGAACCAGTTGCAGGGCCTGGGAAAGGCAAGACGGGAGTTAGTGACTGTGGGGTGGGGTGGTGGCTCGGGCCAAGCGGCAGTGGGCGGGATGGCGAAGGCCGGCCTGACCCCTGGCGTCTAACCTCGCTCATCCTTCTGCCATGGTAACCCGTGGTCGTCTGGCCCGCCTCCCACTAGACGGCAGGCTCCTTGGGTGTAGCTAAGGCCAATGTTCCCTGCCTCCACCACCGCCCTGTCCCCTCCAACGCCCGGCCCAGTGTGCAGTGACACGAGCAGGCAGGCGGAAAAGAATGAACCTTCCAGAACCTAAAGCTCTCAGCTGGCACCCTCTGACCTGGGCTTCGCCGGCTGCTGGCACCAGTTCTTCCCTCGCCCCACGCCCTCTAACAATCTGGCTGCTTTCTCCTTTCCTTCTCAGCCCTGCTCGCCCAGATCTTCCCCCAGCAGAGGGAAAGCCGTGGAGAAAGGCCTCAACTGCGGGTAATCCGAAAGGCATTTCTCCTTGGCTCTGGAATGCATTAGACAAGTTTTTTCTCCTGCGGCAGCGGCAGCGGCAGCGGCAGCGCAGCACCGTTTCTGCAGGGCCGGGGCTCACATTACAGCGAGCCGGCCTCCGCCTGGGCGGCAGCCTGGGGACAGCTGGGAGGGGTGCTGCAGAGGCCGGGCAAGTGCCAAACGCGGCCATTGACTCAACCCGGAAGAAACGCGGCAGCCCCAGGCTAGGGGTCCCAGGCCTCAGGGCCTGCCCTCCCAGCCACTGCACAGCCCGGCTTCCAATCCTCACCACTGCCGGCTGCGGCTCTGTTGCATCAGCCTCCTAACTGGCTTCCCTTCGCCAAGAGTCACTCTTTTGCACCCCCTCCACCCCGCCCTCACTGGAGCCTCCGTTTTCCAACAAGAAAACTGAACTCTCCACTCTCTCCCTAAACAGTTTTCAACAGATCACCACTACCTTCAGGAACCAAAACACTCCGAAATCTTTAGCATCTTATTATACAAGACCTTCCAAAGATCACCCCATTCAACAGCTTCAGCACAATCCCCACTCTCCCCCCACCCCCACACTCTACCCACATCCCATCACGTTCCAGCCCTATGAAACTGAACCACCCCTGCTCTCTGAAGGTTCTGAACTTGTGTGCCTCAGGGCCTTTGCCCATGCCATGCCCCCCATCCTTCCTGCTGGCTCTGCTCCAATGTCATTATCCCCCGGAAAACCATCTCCTGGCGTAGCTGATCACTCATGCCCCAGCCTCACGCCCCTGTTAAACACTTCTAGCAGAGTGTTTAACATCCTTCTGAACAGCTGGGAGTTTCTTTCTTTCTTTCTTTCTTTCTTTCTTTTTTTTTTTTTTTTGACAGGCAGAGTTGGATAGTGAGAGAGAGAGACAGAGAAAAAGGTCTTCCCTCTGTTGGTTCCCCCCCCAAAATGGCCGCTACAGCCAGCGCGCTGCGCCGATTGGAAGCCAGGAGCCAGGTGCTTCCTCCTGGTCTCCCATGGGGTGCAGGGCCCAAGCACTTGGGCCATCCTCCACTGCCCTCCCAGGCCACAGCAGAGAGCTGGACTGGAAGAGGAGTAACTGGGACTAGTACTCGGCGCCCCAACCAGGACTACAATCTGGGGTACCGGCGTCGCAGGCGGAGGATTAGCCTAGTGAGCTGCGGCACTGGCTATGCTGGGAGTTTCTGACAATTAAAAATCTGCTTGGGACCGTTTATCTTGTATGAGTTAATTATATACTTGTCTGTCTAGTCTACTAGAGTGGGGACAGGCTCTGATGGCGGAGCTGGGTTCTGGGCCTCAGGATTTGACCCGGTGCAGCTGCTTAGGACAGGTTTATGGGATCCAGTGTTCTTTGCAGTGCCACGAACGTGCACCCAGTCCTAAAGTACAACATTTCTTTCAAACGCTGGCCAGCACTGTCCTCTCACGTGATCTGGGAGTGGCATGGCCCATCGTTTTTAAAGAATGGGGCAACCCCACCGTCAACACCCTCGCACTGGTGACCGGAATTCAGTCTCGCTCTGATGACCTCGGCAGGCACTTCTGAACCCCGGCCAGCCTCAGGGTCCTCATGCCTCTCGCGTGCCCCCCCAGCCCCACCCCCTTACTTCTCCAAAGGACAGCCATGTTCAAGGTGCGCTGACGCTGTGGAGGAGGCAGCTTCAGAACCAGCGCTGGAGGCCGCAGCGTCAAGAAAACCAGCTTTGCCGGTATCCAGCTCTCAATGCCGGCACCGCTGCCGCCTGGCTCACCGTGTCACTCGCACTCCCGGGTCGGCCCTGGTCTGTCCACACCTCAAAGGCACACTACCCTGGTCCTTTTACTGCCTGGGGCCCAAGATCCTCTTTCAGAGAAGGAGGTGCTGAGTACTTGGGAGGAATTAATTAACTGTGCAATACTATATGCCAGAGGCCCCGCCCCACCCTCAGGGATCAGCTTCTGCCCAGAAGAATAAGGGCCCGAAGCCCCTGAAACCAGATCTCTCTGGTGTCATCATATAGGGTATTTTATTCTTATCAGGCCGTGGGGGGGGAGGCGCGCAAACCAACGGTGGTCTAATCGTGTGGTAAGCAGAGGGACTCCCTTGATCCATTGCTAACCCATCGCCCACCTCGCTCTCCCCATCCTGCTGCACTGCGTGGTAGCTGACTGCTTTATGAAATAGGGTTTGCCGAAAAATTATCCTTAAAGTTCACGGCTAAGGTATCTGCAGTCCATAAAGACACCTGCTGGCTGTCCAACTCCCTTCTGAATCATCACACAAAGATCAAATCGGGTTCAGTTTGATACTAAGCGTCAGGTATTTTCTGGTCTCTGCAAATGGGTGATCCCCACTGAAATACGCACAGGAATCTGAGCCAACAGCACTTATGCCATCAGCTCGCCAATGCAGGCTCCAAGAAAGCAGGTGGTGGATCACCTGAGGACCCTCGTGGTCCCTCAGCTATGGCTACCATATGTCCCAGCTTTCCCAAGCATCTCAGTTTCAAATATCCCGTCTGGCTGCCCCCAGAAACCACAAAAATGCTCCAGACATTCTAGTAGTTCATCAGCCCAAACATCTCCCAGATTATCTCTTGTACCCAGGGGCAGGGAGGGGGCCTCAGACTTGGGCTTCAGGAGATGCAAACGGCCGATGTACTCAGAGTCTCCAAGCCTCCAGTCTGGCCACATCTGGGCCAGAAAGTCAGGCGAGCCTTTGCTACGTGTCACCTTTCCCCTGCTCCTCTTCCTCCTGGAGAGCCCCACCCTCCCGGGGAGACGGGCCAGGGGTTGCCAGGCTCCTGGTGCTGGCTCTGCCACTTACCCGCGGGATACTGACACTTGGAGGTTGTAGCAAGGGAGAAGAGGCTTGTCTGAGAGTTCGAACATGAAGTCGTCCTCTTCCCCATCATTTCCTTCTTGCTCAGCGTTCCCAGGAGGATTACGGAGGAGGTCACACGCAAACCCATCTTTTTTCTCTGTAAAGAGTACATACGGAATTGGTGTTTAGCTGCACGCACAAAACGAAAGCCAAGAAGGCCCTAAGGACATTGAGCTGGGGAGAAGAGGGGTGCTTAGGAGACAAACAACAAAGCCACAGACCCCCGGCTGGGGCCCAGATCTGCTGATCCCCTGGCTCATGTTGCCACGAGGGCATGTGGAGGGTTTAGTCCTGGAAGAAAGGATTTTGTAGCCAGAGATCGTGCTATTTGGCAGTGGAAAAAGCAAGGTGAGCTGCTCAGCTATTGGGGAGATGATGCCTTCACTCCTCTGGCTGTACTTCTCCCAACCTGACTCCTGCACCCTGCTCTGGAAGCCTGGGGCGGGGGGCGGGGCAGGGGGGGGAGTCTCAAAGGGCTCACCCTCTGTAGCCACGGGTTTGGGTGTGGCCTGTTACATTCCATCCCAACCCTCCCCCAGGCTGGGGTGGTGGTGGCTGCTTTCCCTTACTCTTAGAGCCCCCAGCACAATGGATGAATGCTGGAACACCACCATGATACCAGGAAGAGGTGACAATGCCCATAGAAGTTTCTGGCAGGGTCAAGACAAAGCAAGAGAGGGGGGACCTTGGAAGAGAGAGAATTTTCAAAGCACCTAGGGTGGGGAGTGGTAGAAGGGTAGCAAGGGATGGCTTAGTCCAAATCGGTGCTGCATCTGCTGGCTGGGTCTGGGAGTGTCAAAGTTTGGGCTGAGAGGGTCTGTAAGGGATCCCTCCACAGGGATACTGCTGTCTTTAAGAATTAGGGAAACCCAAACCACATTTGGCATCTCTGGGCCTCAGATAAGGGTGCGAAAAATCTCCCCTTAAAGCTTACCCAACACGGAGCTGCTGTAAAAATCCCAGGAAACACCAGGATCCCCCTCGGCCCGGCCCTGAAGATCTGAGAGGTGATCTGTTGAGAGAAGAGAGAAGGCAGTGAGTCAAGGAGGGTAGGCTGCGGGAGGAATCCCAAGCCCCTTGCATGTAGGGCTGCGAGAATGGGAGAGGGGAAGCGAGGACCACAAAGGGGAGCCAGGAGTGACCAGAGAGAGAGAGAGAGAACTTTTTGCTCCTAGCCAGAGACTGCAAATCAGCAACCAGAAGTCCAATGGAGCCCACCGATTGCCTGCAGTTTGGCCCACTATTTTAAAAGCAACCTATTCATTAATTTCTAACATTTTAAAATTGGGAGATTGCACTCAAAAATCCAGATTTCCAACTTTTTGTGAAAACAAAAAGACAAAACACCAATCAGATGTGGCAACACTGTGTCCGCATTCCTGCACGTCAACAGTTGGCTGGAGGGAGCAGTGACATGTGCAGGCGCTGATTCCCCAGTCCCCACCCAGGCTCTTCCCTCTGCGCCACATCAGCCCGCAGGCATGCGGATTTGCGACCCCTGCTGCAACGTGGTCCAAGGGAATACACTGCAGGCGGAATCCAGCCTATTCCCTGATACTCCCAATGTTTACATACTCAGTCACAATCTCTCATTCAGAGTTAAGATAAGTTCCATCTAAGTTCCATCGTTGCATTGCAAAGCCCGGGGGAAAGGGCCAGGTTTATCCTCATAAAAACCTTTTGCTTCCACTCCCCAGTATATACTCAAAAAGAACCGAAAACAGGCGTTCCGACAAAACTTGGGCATAAATGTTCACAGCAGGTCTATTCACAATAGCCAAAAGGTACAGACAATAACATGATGACATTTCTGATGACAATGGAAAACGGTTCACCCACCTGGAAAACACTTTACTTCCCCAAAAAGTTCAATGTAGAATTGCCACATTGCCTGGCAATTCCACTTCTGGTTAAACACCCAGAAGAAACAGGTACCCAGTTCATGATACATCCATACAGTAGAATACTACCCAGCCATAAAAAGGGATGAAGTTCTGATACTTGTTACAGCATAGAGGCTAAGGGATACAAGCCAGACACAAAGGGCCGTATGCTGTAGGATTTCCCTTACAGAAAATGTCCAGAAGGGCCCAGCATTGTGCCAGAGCAGGTAAAGCCCCTGCAATACCCACATCCCATATGGGCGCCAGTTTGAGACCTGGCTGCTCCACTTCTGATCCAGCTCCCTGCGAATGTGCCTGGGAAAAGCAGAAGAAGATAGCCCAAGTGCTTGGGCCCCTGCACCCATGTGGGAGACTTGGAAGAAGCTCTGAGCTCTTGGCTTTGGCCTGGCACAGCCCCGGCTGGTGTAACCACTTGGAGAGTGAACTAGAGGATGGAAGATCTCTCTGTCTGTCTGTCTGTCTGTCTCTCTCTGTAACTCTGCATTTCAAATAAATAAAAATACATCTTCATAAAAAATAAAATGTCCAGAAGACTCAAATCCATAGAGACAGAAAGCATATCAGTGGTGGCTAAGGGCTAAGGGCTATGGGGAGAGGGACATGGGCAATGACTGGAAACGGAGTAGGAGTTTCCCTGCAGAATGACAAAAGATAGTGATGAAAGCGGCACAGCATTGTCAATGCAGGCTGTCACCCAGCTGCTCCCGTTCAAGTGGCTAACACAGGGACAGGTGTTTGGCCCAGCAATGAAGACACTCACTGAGACACCTGCATCCCTTACAGAGTGTCTTGGTTCAAAACCTGCCTTTGGTTCCTTCCTGCCCCAAGCTTCCTGTTCAAAGGGGACCCTGAAAAGCAGTGGTGCTGGCTCAAGTAATCGGCCCCCTGTCACGCACGTGGGAGACCTGGATTGAGATCCAGCCCAGGCCATCGCAGCCAATTGGGGAGTGAGCCAACAGACAGGAGCTCTGTCTCTGTCTCTCTACTCCTCAAATATATTTTTAAAAATAAATCAAGTGGTTAAAATAGTAAATGTTAACATTTCAGCATCTCAGCACAGTAACTTACTTGTAAAAACTGCCTTCTGCTTTCTTACTCTGGAGTCGGGTGTCAGCCACCCTTAGCCTCCTTGTTTCCTAGCTGGGTATCACCTTGTGAATTGCTCCACCGCTCAGTCCCACCTGGACAAAACGCAGGTCTTTCGTGACAACTGTCCCACGCCATCTGTGAACACACGGCCCAGTGGCTGCCACTGTGCCATCTAGCGTTAGCTGACAAAACTGACTTAGCTCCGTGTGTGGTTGTCACCTCCCTCAAGTGACACCTGGGCAACAGGACAGGAGAGAGTCCAAAGGGCGCAGGGGAGGTGAGGGGGGAGGGAGTAGCTGAAAACCAAATCCCAGGGAGACGTTGGCAGCCATCCTTAAAGGAGCAGAGCTAGTGTGTCCCGAGGGAAAGCAGCCCTATGACCTGACCCCATGCACCTCCCCTGGGGTCATCCTATCAAGGAGAACACCTCTTAGCTGTTGTGAGCACCCGGAAGAATCCGATGTTTAGCTACCTTCCAGGAGATAAAAGGGTTCGCCCAGTAGGAGAATGCAGCCAGGGAGAAGCTTTCAAAGTAACGAGCAAAATGAGTGGCGTCGGAAACCTGCATCACGTACATTACATCTTTTGTACACACTGGGCAACAACCCGGAGGGCACGCAGCTGGCTTGCATGCTCTTCTACACCCTGTGCCGCTGAGGAGCTGGAAGGAGCTCCTTCCAGAAGCACGTGTCTATTCTGGGCTGAGCCCTGTGCTAGGTGTCGGCAGACCCAGGAATGAGAGTGGAAGTTCCACCCGTTCGCCACGGTCACCCCCGAACATGAGCCAGTGACCGGCACATAGTAAGAGCCTAATAAATATATGGGGATGGAGGGGGAGGGAGAGAGAGGGAGGAGGAGAGGACCAAGAGGGCAGGGGGAGCGAGGGAGGGAGGAGTGACTCGCTGCCAGGTGAGACTATAAAGTGCTTGCTTTAACCAGCAGGCCGAACACATGCATCTGAGTGACAGCCGCTGGCACCTCCCCTCAACAAGAGGTCACACGAGGATTCCATCAGAGCAGCCCTAGCTCACGGCATTCCTGGGGCTTTTCTCTAGGAACTGCCTGTGCAGCCCCCAGCACATTCTTCTAGCCCTCTGCCTGGGCTGCGAATCTTTGTCACTTGCAGGTGAATTTGCCTTTCCGTGACAGCCCCAAGTTACCGGACACGAGCAAGATGCTGAAGTCTGAGCAAGCGCACGAGCCGCGCACAAGAGCGCCAAGATCCATTCACTTGCTTCATAGAGGTGCGCACCCGATCAGGATGATGTGTCACCTTCCTTCTCCTTGATTCTTCCTCCCCCTTGCCCCCAACCCCAGGCACAGCTTTCACTCCTTTTCTCTTATCCTTTCCCTGATCCGGGGCCCTGGGCCCAGCAATTCTACCTGTAGGAACATACTCAGGAAAAACCGAAAACACAGAAAACAAAAGACTTGCACAGGCATGCTCACAGCAGCAGCTCTACTCACAACAGACAATAGCCAGAAAGTAGACGCAGCCCAAGAGTCCACCAATGGGTGACTGGCTCAACCAACTGGCGGGCATAGCTATACAATGGAATAGTATTCAAAGGAAGATAGTACAGAAACCTGCTAACACGTGGATAGACCTGGAAAACGCAGTAAGACTCTGTGAAAGAAGCCAGACACGAAAGGCCCCATCTGCACTGTGTGATTCCGCTGGGAACGTCTAGGACGGGTCAGTCCATAGAGACAGCATGCAGCAAAGGCAGCCAGGGGGCCCCGAAAGCAACTTCTTAACGGGTATGGGCTTTCCTGTTGGGGTGATCGAAACTTAGAGTGCAGACGGTTGTACAAGGTAGTAACTGCGCTGAATGCCACTGAATTGACTTTTTTTTAATTGATTTTTTTTATTTGTATTTTATTTGAAAGGTAGAGAGACAGAGACAGAGAAATCTCTCATCCACTGGTTCATTCCCCAAAATGCCTGCAGTAGCCAGGGCTGGGCCAGGCCGAAGCCAGGAGTCAGGAACTTCAATTGGGTCTCCCATGTAGGTAGCAAGGAACTCAAGTATTTATGCCGTCATTCACTGCCTCCAGGATGTGTATCAGTAGGAAGCTGGATGGGAAGCAGAGCGGTTGGGACTGGAACCAGGCACTGCAATACAGGATGGGGGTGCCCTAAGTAGCATAACTACTGTCCCAGGATTGTTTACTTTTAAATAGTCATTTTGTCTCACCTCAACGTATTTGCAAAAAGTACCCTCTGGGCCTCACTGATAAGAACAATCTCTAACCTCCACGTGAGTGGCTGACCAGCAGCTTCTCTATTTATTTCTCAGGGTCCCATCATAGCCCTTCCCAGCTCCTGCAACCAAGTCACCAGCTGAGGGACATGAAAGGAGAGAGAAACAAAAAAACAAGTGCTCTTCAACATGGGGTCATATGGCAGAGGTCTCTGGCAGGAAAAACAAGAAGCTGTGACTCAGTGACCTCAGGTGGTAAATCACTAACCCTCTCATCAGCGAAGGCAAAGCAGCCCTGATACTTCCTCTGACGCCTCATTCCAACTCCAGCGACTGCCCCCAACCCCTACATTCTTTCCAACAGAGGAGCAAAAACAAGCGTTTTCCTTGGGCTAGCCTGCGTACTGTTCTTTTCTTCGGAAGGGTCAGAGGTAAATCATCACATGCATGCCTGTAATTTGGCCCAGGGGAGAGGCCTTAGCCTCTTGGTGCTCCAAGCCCAAGAGCAGGGTAGAAAAGGCAGAATCTAATAGGCACTCACCATAGGAACCAACAGACAAAGGAAGCAGTGCCTATACATCCCTCGCAATCTCGGACGAAATGGGCCCCACCTGCACATGCACAATCCAGATGTTTACCAGAATCTTCCATTTCACAAAAGGATTCACTATGGGGCCGGCATCGTGGCAGAGTGGGTGAAGCCGCTGCCTGTGATACCGGCATCCCATATGGGCACTGATTTAAGTTTTAGCTGCTCCACTTCCTATTCAGGTCCCTGCTAATATCCTGGGACAGCAGCAGAAGATGGCCCAAGTCCCTGCACCCATGTGTGAGACCCGGATGAAGCTCCTGGCTCCTGACTTTGGATCGACCCAGCTTCAGATGTTGTGGCTATTCGGGGAGTGAACCAGTGGATGGAAGATCTCTCTCTCTCTCTCTCTCTCTCTGTAACTCTGCCTTTCAAATGAATAAAGAAAAAGGATTCACTACAGTAAACCTGTAAATCACAGTGTTCTCTGGTGTACTTTGGGAATCAAACCCTCTTCTGACTTTTCTAGAACAGGAGCCTTGTGCAAGGTGAGAGAAGCTACAAGAGGAGACACAACCTTGACGCTCCAGCTCCCCTTTTTCGTTTGCACAAAATGGAGCTTTTTGCACCCTACAGGGATTTGCCTTTGTTTTCTGTCCAGCGGTATGTTCAGAAGGGGAGGATGAAGACAGTCTGGCCCAGGCAAATGCTTGGGGATGAAAAACAAGCCCGGGAAGTGTCTCAGCCAGATAGGCCAGGTTTTAAAACAAAAACAACCCAGAGGTCCCTACAAACACATCCAGGCATAGGGGCTAGGGAGGTGGGGTAGGAAGGAAACATTCTTCAACCTCCAACCTCCGCCTTCATACATTCTCTGTGGTCAACCACACCTGTTCTTTCCAGCAGTACCTGGAAATTTGGTGGGGAAGCATACATGGATGGAAAAAAGAGAGAAATACCCAATCTGAGGGATCAAGATAGCTCCTGATGATGGTGGCACAACGTTATGAATGCACTAAGTACTACTGAATTGTTACTTTAAAAGGGTTATGTTTGGTGAATTTCACTTCAGTTTTTATAAAGCCCAGGAGTGTTGTCCTTTAATGCCTCACAGACAGCCTATGGGCCCAAGTCCCCCCTTCCCAGGAGCCTACCGACTCCTGCCAGCGCCTGCTTCCCTGTGCTGTTAGACCAAGGGCCTAGCCTGGCTTGCTAGAATTTTCCCTAATAGCCAGGCAGAGCCCGGCCTTTGCACCACAAAGAGACAGCCCAGTTTATCACATTCCATTGGCCCCTGATCCCCATTGTTAAGCCAGCTCCATACCCATAAAATGAGAAATTTGAATGAAGGGGCTCAGGATGAACTGGTTAGGAAGTGCTAGCATTAAGGTAAGTCTACTTTGCATTCTGCCACAGAGACTGGCATTTGAGTTAGTTTAAGGAGGTACCAAAAAACTAGCTAAAGGGACAGGATACCAGCATCCCATGTTGGAGGCTGGTTCAAGTCCTGGCTACCTCACTTCTGATTCAGCTTCCTGCTAATGTGCCTGGGAGGCAACAGGTGATGGCCCAACTACTTGGGTTCCTGCCACTCAAGTGGGAGACCTGCATGGAGTGCTGTACTCCTGGCTTTGGGGAGTGAACCAACAGATGGAAGATCTTTCTCTGTCTCTCCCTCTCCTTCTCCCTCACTCTCTCTCCCACCCTCCCACTCTCCATCACTCTGCCTTTCCAATAAATAAATAAACAACTACAAAAAGGGGCTGGCTAGTAGTTGGGTTGAGTTGACCAAAGAGAAAAAAATGTGGTCATTTCTAATTTTTTTTTTTGACAGGCAGAGTGGACAGTGAGAGAGAGAGACAGAGAGAAAGGTCTTCCTTTGCCGTTGGTTCACCCTCCAATGGCCGCCATGGCCGGCGTGCTGCGGCTGGCGCACGGCGCTAATCCGATGGCAGGAGCCAGGAGCCAGGAGCCAGGTGCTTTTCCTGGTCTCCCATGGGGTGCAGGGCCCAAGCACCTGGGCCATCCTCCACTGCACTTCCTGGCCACAGCAGAGAGCTGGCCTGGAAGAGGGGCAACCGGGACAGAATCCGGCGCCCCGACCGGGACTAGAACCCGGTGTGCCGGCGCCACTAGGCGGAGGATTAGCCTAGTGAGCCGCGGCGCCGGCCTCATTTCTAATTTTTTTAAGCACCCAAGATGGTTTCAACATTCAAATTCTTTTGAGGTTTGAGAGAAGAGAGTGAGAAAGGAAAGCGCTCATCTGCTTACTAAAGTGGTCAGAGATAGCATCCTCTGGACCTAGACAGCCCTAAGACCCACTGAGATGCCCTGAAGAGCCCCAAGAGGCCCCTGAACTAGGCCACTTGATCACAGTCAGAGCCTGTGGTCCCTTTATCATCCTGAGACGCTCTGGACGGTCATGCATGCCAGACTTGCCTAGGAACACAGTGCATTCAGACAACGTGCACATGCGCCTAAGAGAAGAGTACATGTGTGCGTGGTATGGGAGAGGAGGCCACTAAGGGTGGCTCGCTCTGAGCCCTGAGCCCTGAGCCCACAGCGACAGCTCAGCTAGCCAGAGGGAACAACAATTATCACTGCCCAGGGCAGAGCACGGAATGGACATCTCAGATCTGGTCCGCCCCTCAGTGACAGGGTCCTGGGGATCCAGAGCTGCGGTGGGGGGAAGGGAAAGGGCCACCCTCCTGTGCGCACCTGGGAGAGGCTGGAACTGGCTGCGCGGGCCTAAGCCTAGACTGCACAGGGCCTGAGCAGAAGTCAGGGCCCCTCAGCAGCCCTCCATCGTCCCCTCCCCACCGCCAGCTCTGGTTAGTTTAAAGGTGATACTCCCACCTGGTTTTTCGTTTTATCGGTGCTTTTAGTGTGGATCTTTTCCTTTTGTCCCATCACCAGCTACCTGGTTAACCTTTGTTCCATAAACAAGTGAGTCCCTGGTTGGGAGCCTAGAACTCTCTCTCTGGCAGGGGTGGGCGTTCAGGACTGCCTGGGGCCAGGGCCTGGGGAGAGGGAGGCATGGTCTTGGGCAAACCCACAATCCCACTGGTCCCTAGTTCAAGAAGGGAGGTGCCACAACACTGACACCTTGGAGGGTGCTCAGAGATCCAATTCCCAGCTGCTCTGCCGCTCAGGCAATCCGGAGACAGGAAAGGGCCAGGCTGTGGTATCACAATGTCGCTAGGAGGCGGGCTTCCTCTATTTCGAGGTCTAGTCACCAGAGCTAGACCTCCCTCCATTGCTCTCTCCCCGCTGCCCAGCTCAGTAGAGCTATCGAACTGCACACAAACAGCTGCCAGCCACTAAGGAGAAAATACACACTGGCATGCGGCCCTCAGCGCGGGCCTGAACACTAGACACCGTTCCAGAACGGGCAGGTGAGGGAGAAAGGGAAAGGGATGGAAAGGAGGAAGATGCGGAATGCACAAGGAACACCATGCCACCCACTGCCAAGGGCAGGGAGGAAGAAAGCTTTGGGAAGGCCCTAGGGGTTCCACTTTGACTGCCAGCAAAGAGAAATTGCAAAACAAAAGCAAGACGCTAAGTGGTAACTTCTGGGTAACTGACACCCATTCACGTCACACTTTGCCCCCAACCAGATCCACTAATGGGGCTGCTGTCCCACAAGGAGGCCTATCCCACACACCTGGCGGTAACCTGGGTCTCTATGGGCTACCAGAGCCCTAAACAGGCTACATCCCTGCTAATGCGCCTGGGAAAGCAGTGGAAGATGGGCCCAAGTGCTTGGGCCCCTGCACCCAAGTGGGAAACCCGTTTAGAATTCCAGCTTCCTGGCCTCAGCCTGGCCCAGCTCTGGCTGTTGTGGGCATTTGGGGAGCAAAGCAGCAGATGAACGATTACTCCCTCTCTCTCTGTAATTCTGGGGCTGGCGCTATGGCATAGTGGGTAAAGCCATCAGCTGCAGTGCCAGCATCCCATAAGGGCACTGGTTCAAGACCTGGCTTTTCCACTTCTGGTCCAGCTCTCTGCTATGGCCTGGGAAAGCAGTGGAAGATGGCCCAAGTGCTTGGGCCCCTGCACCCAAGTTCGAGATCTTGAAGAAGCTCCTGGCTCCTGATTGGCCCAGCTCCAGCTGTTGTGGCTATTTGGGAAGTGAACCAGTGGATGGAAGACATTCTCTTTCTCTTTCTGCCTCTCTGTAACTTGTCTTTCAAATCAAATAAGTAAATCTTTTTTTTTTTTTTTAAGTAGACCAGAGGCAGAGGAGATGGACATTTGGTGCAGCATCCTATAACAGAGTGCCTGGGTTGGAGTCTCGGCTCTGCTCCCTAGTCCAGCTTCTTGTTAATGTGCACCCGGGAGGCAGTAGTGATGGCTCAAGTACTTGGGTCCTTGCTGTCCACATGGGAGACCTGGACTGAGTTCTGGGCTCCTGACTTTAGTTGCAGGCATCTGGGGAGTGAACCAGCAGATGGCAGCTCTCTGTCTCTCTCTTTCTCTTTTAACTAAGTAAATGAGACAGGAATTCCTGAGAAGCTGGAAGGAAAGTGTGTGAAGAGGGGGCAGGTGCCCCTCGTGGGAGCCATCTGAGCTAGAGGGAGATGAAGAGGACCTCCTGCCAAGTTCAGGAGTCACAGGCCAGCCCCAAGGATGCCAGCATCAAGTCTGCCGGTGCTCACCACTGAGGAAGCGCTTCATGGTGTCGCTGCTGGCCAGCTTCATGGCCGTCTGACCCGAGTAGGTGGCCAGCGTGGGATCAGCCCCATAGGACAGCAGGAGCCAGATGGTCTCCAGGTTGTCGTTGACCACTGCATCATGAACTGGCCTGTGGAGACAATACAGGGTGAGGACAGCAGGGGCCAAATGGGAACAGAGGTGTCTAGGCTTCAGGCTACCTCATCAGGGTTAAAAAATAAAAAATGAGATGACCCCCGGGCATTGCTACAGTCCCCCATCCTCCCTCTGTACCTCTGTACACCTTTATCCTCTCTTTCCTCTCTCTCTCTCTCTCTCTCTCTCTCTCCCTCCATCTCCTATCTGCACCACCACCACCACCCCCCCCACCACCATCTAGGGACAGTCCCTAGGACACAGTGTAAGCTCCACTGGTCTATTCTGAAATTTTGCAGAGAATGGGTCCCTGACGGAGGGAAGAGTTAAAGCAGAGGCAGGGGGCTAAGAACGGAAAGACCCAGTTGAGGGCAGAAGAGCAAGGAGCAGCCTGACGGTGGCCAAGCAGAGCCCGCACCCATACTCCAGGTGCCCATACCAGACTGACAGCTCATGTCTCTATTTTGCCAAGGACGAAGGCCGTGTGCCAGGGCAGAGGAGCCTGGGTGCGGTATCTCTGAGACACTGCAGGTATGTTTTGGAAAAGTATACAGAGATCAATTCACAAACACCGAATCTGGGATGATACTGATACCCTGAGGTCAGCTGCCCAGTTAGTTCCTAAAGCCCCGGAGTCTGCCTGAGACAGGTGTCCCACCAGGATGATTTGGGGAAGCCTGAGTGGTCTTACTGCTGACAGCTGCAAGGGGTGGGAGGATCCCGTGACAACCCCAGCCTCCCCTTGGTAACCAATGGGAAACTGGCCTGCCAAGAACGCCTCACAGCCTGCCCTAAACCGGGCCCCTCTTCCGTCTACAGAAGTCATTTGGACCAAGCCTCTGCAAAGGTTCAGGCTGGGAAGTCCTTTTGAGTCAGGGGGCTGAGCTGGGGACGCGAGGGCACGAGGGGGCACGAGGGGGCACGAGGGGGCACGAGGGGGCGCGAGGGGGCGGGGCAGCCTTGCCTGGTGCCATCCTGTGCACTGCAGTTCACGTTGGCGCCATGCTCCAGCAGGATGTTCAGGATGTCGGTCCAGCCCCGGGAACAGGCCTCGTGCAGGGCGGTGTAGCCCGCGTTATCGCGGTGGTTCACGTCCTCGCTGTCCTTCTGCAGGCAGTACATGACCACGTCCTGCGAGCACAGGGGCTGCTCATGAGCAAAGGCAGGCCTAACTCCTGAAGTCATCCCCAGTTAGAGGCGAGCCCCCCGCCCCCCAATTCCTGAGGCGTCACAGAGCCTGACAGGCGAGGCTCAAAGTCAGTGTCGGGCCGCCACCACCGGGATGCCGCTTTGGCAGCGGGGAGATGTTTCTTACGGCCGAGAACATTTGTTCGGGTGGCAGTGGCTCAGAGAGGCTCACCTGCCCAGCCCTAGCTCCGGCACCTAGACCTGGGCCCCCCGAGCTTTGCAAGGTAGCGCCAGATGAAGCAAATGAGACGTGTGTGCTGATAACTCAAGATCAAGGAAGGAAGGACTGTGTTCAGTACTATCCCTGGGTGCTGGTCTCAGCAGGACAAATGTTCACGCCAGGGTCATCACTTCCAGCCCCGCACCGCACCGCACCGCACGAATCAGCACTGTTCTGAATGTAATCCAGTAGAGATGAGTGATCTTGGACACATCACTGACCACTGCTACCTAGCGTAACAAAAGCTACCTCACAGGTGCACCAAAGAGGAGCCAGTCAACGCCAGCTTCCCTCCCTTCAACGTCTAGGGAAAGAAGATAAAGAAGGATTCGCTCAGTCTTGCCCCTTGAACACACTCCTGAAGCCTCTACCAGAGATGAAATGAGGGGGGCGGGAGCAACAATCACCTCTTGTTCTTCTCAGAGCAGGGAGTAGCCACATCGGGAGTGTTCAAGACAATGAGAACATCCAAAAATCCCGTCCTTGGCCTAGGAATGCACTGCATGCTATTTTGTTACTACTTCAATGTCATCCCAAACTGACATTCAAAGGAACCTGCATCCCCACACACTGAGATCAGACAAGGGGCAAAGCAGCCCCACGGGCAAGGTGGGCAGCGGACGGAGGAGAACCTGGACTCGGATCCCAGAGGAGCCAAGGACGAGAAGCTGCGCCATCGCTGCTCAGGCCAACAGCACGCCCGCAGCCAGCAGCCTGCTTACCTTATAGCCGAGACGTGCTGCCCGCTGCAGGAGGGTCTCGCCAGCATTTTTGTTCACTATGAGCCGCCGGGCCTCTGGGGGGATCTGTCGGGCTGTGGGTGACTCTGAGGCCTCCTCTGGGCCGGCACTTCGGCACTTGGAGGGTGTGCATGGTTCTGTGGGTTTCGCTGAGGTGGGAGACTTGGGAGAGCGGGTCTTCTGCTGGCTCCAACGACCTTTGCCCTAGAGAGCAAAGATGCAGTCATGGGGCAGGCCAGGCAACATAGCCCATCCATCACGGCCGTCTCACCTCAACCACGTCCACGCTGTGCTTTGCAAACAGCACCCCCAATAGCACAGACGTCTGTCACATCTAGAGCCAGAGGATGGGCTGGCCACTGGTGGGGAGACGGCAAGAGGCTCAACCCCTCGACCCCATAGGAAAGCAGCAGAAGATGGCCCGAGTGCTTGGGCCCCTGCACCCGCGGGGGAGACCCGGAAGCAGCTCCTGGCTCCTGGCTTCGGATTGGCACAGCTCTGGCCGTTGCAGCCATTTGGGGAGTGAACTAGTGGATGGAGGATCTCTCTGTCTCTCTGTTTCTGTCTCTCTCTGCCTTTCAAATAAATCTTTTCAAAATAAATGAAAAAAAAAAACAGAAAGAAAGAAGTCAGCAAAGGATCAGCAGCGGAGAGAAAAGCTGAGGGCGCAGGGCGTGTGTCTCCTCTGGTAACTCCTAGGAGCACAGGAAGCCCTAGCCGTCCCTACTCCCAAAGGGCAGACAGGTACCATCCCTGGCAGGAGGGTACCGGTTACGAGGATCTGATCCCACTGTAGCAGCAGGAGGCTAGGGCACACAATGGCAGGACTGCAGGACGCTGGGCACAGTACCCAGGTTTACCAAACGGTGCCTCTCCTTCTGGTGGCTGCCTGAGGAGGGGAGGAGTGAGAACAAGTGGGGATGCCTCTTCCCCTCCCCCCTCCCTCAGCTCTAACCCTTGGGGTGAGAAGGCCTTGGCCGAGGCTCCACTTTAGTGCCGCGGGAGTATCCTCTGACCTCCCCCACTCTGAAGCCCTGTGCCATGGGGGCAACTGGAGCAGGTGGGGGTGACCAGGAGGGAAAGAAAGGCAGGAGGGAGAAGCAGAGGCCCTGGGGAGGGAGAGAGACCTCTGCAGAACATTTCCGCAGACACACTGCCAGGCAGAACCACCACACAGGAGCACCACGCGTGCTGCTCAGTGTTAGGCGGCTGGTCACCTGTGGGTGGGATGGGGCCATCTGAGAGTCTGGGGGAAACTGAGGGACAGGCAGGAGCCTGGGGCGTACCTACCTTCTGTCCTAGCTGCTCTAGGCAGCACTGCTTCCCATCCCATCGCTCCCCCCCCCCGCCCCAGGTGTCTCCCAGACTCAGATTAAAGCACTGACCTCCAAGGCCACGTCAGGGAGACCAGAACAGTCACGCGAACGAAGCACCTGGCATGGCCCAGCGCTCCCTGCTCTGTCCTCAGGCCCTGTCTTTCTCCCACTCTGGGGGTCAGAGAGAACAGGTGCCGTGCCTCTGCCGCTCATTCCTGCCTCGGCCTGAACCCGGGGTGGGGAGATGCCCAAGAGAGCCCCGGAGGGCACTGCAGGGTCATCGAAAGCTGTCAGTTACACCCATCGCCTCCTTTGTCCCCCGGGCACCCTGAGAGCCACAAAGAGCCTGGAGTACCAGCTCCAGCTTTCAAGATGACGAAATAGGCTAGAGTGCGGTTGGGGAGCAGGAGAGGGGTCAGAAGAGAAATGGGCAGCCGGGTCTCCCATCTCGGGCCAGTGCCATTCAGGGATCCCTGCTCAGGAACTAGACAGAGAGTGGGAAGAATCACAACCACCAAAACAAGCCCCATTCAGCCTTGGGGAGGGATCTTCGATGCCAAATACGTCTTTGGATTACATAGTGGAATCTGGCCCTCACTTCTCTCAAATGTAAAGCTGATTTTTTTTTTCTAATGGTCAATGTGGAGTCCAACACCAATGCTACGAATATCAGACCCCAAAGAGGTGTCAGTTTTGTTTTTTTTTTTTTGGGACAAACCAGCTTTATTATGTACAAGCAGCCCGCGGTCACCCTAGCTTCGTGGCCGAGGTGTCAGTTTTGAAAGGGGGTCCTAGGAATGCTTGTTGGGTTGGCTGGGAGTGTCTGCTCACTCATTCTTTTTTTTTTTTTTTTTTTTGACAGGCAGAGTGGACAGTGAGAGAGAGAGACAGAGAGAAAGGTCTTCCTTTGCCGTTGGTTCACCCTCCAATGGCCGCCGTGGCCGGCGCGCTGCGGCCGGCGCACCGCGCTGATCCAATGGCAGGAGCCAGGAGCCAGGTGCTTTTCCTGGTCTCCCATGGGGTGCAGGGCCCAAGCACCTGGGCCATCCTCCACTGCACTCCCTGGCCACAGCAGAGGGCTGGCCTGGAAGAGGGGCAACCGGGACAGAATCCGGCGCCCCGACCGGGACTAGAACCCGGTGTGCCGGCGCCGCTAGGCGGAGGATTAGCCTAGTGAGCCGCGGCGCCGGCCATGCTCACTCATTCTAACACTGCCACCAGACACGTGGGAACATGAGTGCAGGCAAGAAAGGGTGGCTGGTACTTAAGCCCCACCCTCCAGTAACCTTCACCTGGACATCCAAATCCTTACTTCCAGAAGTTGTTTTATTATTATTATTATTATTTAACCCTGACTGACTCAGAAAGCCCGTGATTGGTTTCTAGCGAGTTAAGTCCAAACAAAGGCTTCTTGATTGGATGTTAACAAGCTATTCACATCAACTTCCTGCCATATTCTTTAACTCCCTTAACTCAAAGGAGATTCAGGGAGTATTGAGGAAAAGCCATCGTGGGCCAAACGCTGTAACTGTAACTTGAGTTCCCATTCTCTGACTCCGCCCGCTAATGCTTCTAAAACTAGTTTCAAACACCTTAATAAAGATGGGTTCATTTGCTCCTTGCTATCACTCGCCCCTTCCCCAGACGACTGCTGACAGAGGAGCTTGGTGGCTAGTCTGCCTCCTCGAGCCCACGCCCCTCCCCTGGACACGTCCCCTCGACGGCAACATACCTTTGTCTCTTCTGAGACGTTTGCCATGTGCTTGGTCTTGCACTTCCGTTTTCCTGATGGCTTTTCGGAGTTTTCAAGGCAGGCTGGCTCCTCCAGATTATTTGGGAGGAAACCATTTGGTGAATCCGAGATCCCCTGGGTTTTAGTGGGCAAGAGAAGGTTCCTGTTCCTGAGACAGTGCTCCGAACTTTGGGAGGAAGTCTTCTGCTTACGGGCCTTTAAATCTGAAGACAAGAAAACAGTAGAGAACGGCTGTCAGAGAGATGGAACGCAGAAAAGCAATGCCATCCTCTAGAATGAATCAGAGGGCCTGGGGGATTAGAAGCCAAGTGCAATGTCAGGAAACGATCAGCTGTCAGTATCTAGCGCAGTGCTGACCATGCCACTCAGTGCTTCTTCAGCGAGCGCTGCTTCACCATCCCTGTGCTTCCCTCTACAAGCAGAGACAGCTCCCAGCCCTGCCAGCAGGGGGCAGCCTATCTGGCTGTCTCCAAGATGCGGGTAATTTTTTAAAAGGTTCTACCCATAGCCTTCAGCAAATTGGAGTTTCTTTTCAGGTTTTCCCCCCAGCACACTGCTGCCTGTCTCCACCCCAATATAAAAACAAATTTAGCAGTTCTGCTGACGTAAAGTATCAAGTACACTGGGGCAGGAGTAAATCTAAGACGGCTGCCTTCATAGCTTCAGTTCTACTCACCCGATTGCCTATCTGTCACTCTCTGAGGACACAAAGATCAAAGCCACAGAACCTCCACAACACCAGAAGATGCCGTGGGCCTACTGAGCTGCTGGCCAGTGGCAGAAACCTTCTTTCCCTGGTTGGAAATCAAGTCTCCCATGTGACCGGAACACGCTGGGCAACACCTCTAATTCTAGCCACAGCTCACTGAGCAAAATGCACTCTAATTTCACAGAGGCCTGCTGGGATTATCAAGATTCTCCTTCTGGGGCAGGCACTGTGGTATAGAAGGTTAAGCTTCTGTCTGCAGTGCCGGCATCCTATATGGGCACCAGCTAGTCCTGGCTGCTCCACTTCCAATCCAGCTCTTGGCTAATGCGCCTGAGAAAGCAGCAGAAGATGGCCCAAGTCTTTGGGCCCCTGCCATCCATACGGGAGACCCAGAGAAGGCTCCTAACTCCTGGCTTCAGCCTGGCCCAGCCCCGGCCATTACAGCCATTTGGGGAATGAACCAGCAGATGGAAAATCTCTCTCTCTCTCTCTCCTGCCTTTCAAATAAATAAAAAAAAACCTTTATAACAAATATCCTTCCATGAGGTCTGTTTTTTTTAAAGATTTATCCATTTATTTGAAAGGCAGAGTTATAGAGAGGCAGAGGCAGAGAGAGAGAGAGAGAGAGAGAGGTCTTCCATCCAATGGCTCACTTCCCAATGGCTCCAATGGCCAGAGCTGTGCCCCATCTGAAGCCAGGAGCCAGGAGCCTCCTCCAGGTCTCCCATGCAGGCGCCGGGGCCCAACACTTGGGCCATCCACCACTGCCTTCCCAGGCCCAGCAGAGAGCTGGATCAGAAGTGGAGCACCCAGGCCTTGAACAGGCACCCATATGTGATGAAGGTACTGCAGGTGGCAGCTTTACCTGCTAAGCTACAGCACTGCCCCCAGGTCTGTTCTAAACCCCCCAAAATAAAAGATTTATTTATTTATTTGAAAGGCAGAGATACAGAGAGAGAAGTCTTCCATATGCTGGTTCACTCCCCAAATGGCCAAAATGATCAAGCTTGGGCCAGGCCAAAGCCAGGAGCTAGGAGCTTCCTCAGGGTCTCCCACAAGCATGCAGCTGCTCACACACTTGGGCCATCCTCTGCTGCTTTCCCAGGCACATTAACAGGGAGCTGGATTGGAAGTGGAGCAGCCAGGACATGAACCAGTGCCCACAGGGAATGCCAACGACACAGGCAGAAGCTTTACCCGCTACGTCATAGAGCCAGCCCCTATCCTTATATCTTGCCATTAGGTCCCGTGGATTGGGCACTAACTGTGTAAATGGGTAAAATTAACTCAGAAACCCTGTGAATCTCAGTAAAACGGAGAGAACATAATTCACATTACAGGAGTGATATGAGAATTAAATGAAGGTAATACACATTTATGAAACTTTTTATAAGGTGTATGGCATCACTGTTATATTATTTAAGTGTACACTCTATAGGTAGGGCCATTAGCTGCATGTTCTTTATTTTCCCAAAAGACGGAACACCCTGCCTAGCACAGGGCAAAAGATCAGTTATGTCTGTGAAGTGAATTAACCGTGGTCAGTGTCTCTAACTTGTGAAATGAAGAGATTAAGATACAAGAGTTCTGACTCTTCCCCCCTGACCTTGACACGGGCTCTCGTGAGTGACATTGCCGAGGGCAGATCCCGATGTGGGAGTCACTGCTCTCATCCCAGGATCTGGCTGAGCTTGTGCACAACTCTCACAGGACCAGCTGTCGGGCCACCCCTTATTCCCAAGCAGCCCCAGACCGTTAATGGGTCCCCCACAGCCTGGCTAAGAACTGCTGTGCTACGTAGTCTCTATTGGCACTTCCACTGTGAACATACTAAACCAGGACTTACTGTTTAAAGTTGTTTTTTTTTTAATTTGAGACAAAGAGAGACAGAGAAGAGAGCTCCCTTCAGCTGGTTCACTCTCGAAATGCCCACAATGGCTGGGGATGGATCAAGGCCAAAGGCAGGAGCCAGGAACTCAATCCAGGTCTCCCAAATGGGTGGCAGGAACCCAATTACTTGAACCACCAACTGCTGCCTCCCAGGGTCTGCATTGGCAGAGACTGGAATGAAGAGTCGGGACAGAAATCAAACGCAGGCACTCAGGTGTGGGACACGCCCATCTTACCTACTAGGCTTCATGGCTACTCCTAAAACCAGGCCTTTTGATGATGAACAAGTTTGGACTGAAGCAAACAAGGAAGGTACAGCACTGTGCCTCTTGAGGACCCCAGGAAATGTGGGGAAGCCATATCACAGCAAAACAAACAGCCCCTACTCTGTTTACCCAGGGCAGGCAAAAACTCCGCCACGTATCCAAATGCGGAGGAGCGAGCACTTTATCACAGCACACGAAGGAATGGAGAGTACAGGTAGCATCGTGTGAGAGGAGGCGGCTCTTCCTACCTCTCTGCAGGTCAAGAAGAGAGATAGCCAAGCTCAGGATGAAAGGGAAGGTCACAGGCTCAGATGGGAGGAGGGGGCCCGCCTGCTTTGACCTTTGCCCGACTCTGATGTCAAACTGAAAGGCTGGAGGAGGCGGTTTGGGAACTTTGGGAGGAGAGAGAGGTTTGTCAGGCAATTCCTGCATGAAGATGCCATTATCAGATCTGGAGAGGGAGGTGACCAGAACGCACGCCAAAGCCGGCCCTTAGACACATCCACAGAGAGGAAGAGCTACTCTTCCACAAAGGCAGCTGCCCCCGAAGCAACAGGAAGATTTGATGGGTGGTATTCTGTGTCACTAAAGGTACTCAAAGACTATAGCTACGTGTCAAGAATGCTAGAGAGATCGCGAGCTTTGCATTGGGCGGCAAACCGGACAAGGCAACCTCCGAGGTCCTTTTGGTCGGTCCAAGAGCCAGTGAGTTTCATAGGAAGCTTCCAAGCAAGGAAATTAGCCCTATCAGAGAAGATTGGTTGATGCAAAAGCTCCTCTTCATGCTAACACAAGTGGCTGAGGCCATGGCTTGACAATTCACTCACGACCAATCTATTATGGCTCTAGCAGAAGAAAAGGAAAATTGCCCCTACTCACTCCCACAGTTGATGAAAATTAGCTCAATTACTCTCTTGAGCATAGGGATAGTAGTATCATATACATCACCACTTAAGCTGAGCCGGAAATGAGGTTAAGCCTTCGCTGCATTATAGGAAATCCAGAATTGTACCCACTCAATATAAGGTTATTCAGTTTTGACTGATAAACATCCAAAAGCTCAGGATGAATATATGATAGGAGAGAATCAATTGTTGCCTCAAGCGTAGGTGGTCATAGAATGAGAGTGAGAGACAGAAGTGTTCTTCTGGAACTCAGAGAAGAGTTTTTGGCTCAATTACGAGCCTACTACAGGAACGGGCCTGAACAGGCCTGAATGGGACTCAGTGGAACACACTGCGGCCCCCTCGCCAGCCTTACCTGCTCTCCCCTTCCGCTGCTGCTCTTCTTCTTGTTCGGTCAGGTACTCCCCAGTCTGATATTTCCGGTTCTTCTGCCGTCTCCGTTTCTTCCTCTTCACCAGGCCCTCCTCCTCCTCTTCCTCCTCTTCTTCATTGGTGTCCCACATTTGCCGGGCAGCCTCTGTCCTCCAGGGCATCTCTCGGGCTCGCCACAAGTGCCTGCGGCCCTGGCTCAGCAAGGTCTTGTCCTGGGCATGATGGCTACGATACTGGGTGTCCCGCTGGGTCTTTCTCACCTTTCGCCGCTTGGCTGGCGTGGGGGCTACCTCCTCCTCCTCTTCGGTGGGGAAGACCTCCTGACTTCCCATGTCGCTGTCTGCCATCCCAGCAAAGGAGCTGCAGATGCTTCCTGGGGATGGGATGGACAGAGGACAGTCACGTACCCCTCCAAAAGACAATGCATGGTGTCTGAGTGAATGCCCTGGGCTGGGAGTTTGAAGTCTCGGTTCAAGTTCAGGCTCTGCTGTACACCTGGGCAAAGTTCCTTCACTCTGTTTCCTCGCCTATGAAACGGGGATACTATTCTTCCCTTGCTGACCTCATGGAGCTGTTTTGAAGCTCCAGGACGGACGATCTTTCACTCAGAAGTGCTTTACAGAAACCCATACTTGTAGTCCTATCAACTACTGAAAAACATACACCCTGGGGCCGGCGCTGTGGCACAGCAGGTTACGCTGCCACCTGTAGTGCCGGCATCCCATACAGGTATTGGTTCAAGTCCCGGCTGCTCCACTTCCTGTCCAGCTCTCCGCTAACGCGCCTGGGAAAACAGCAGAAGATGGCCCAAGTGCTTGGGCCCCTGCACCCATGAGGAAGACCTGGATGAAGTTCCTGGCTCCTGGCTTCAGTCTGGCCCAGCCCTGGCCACTGCAGCCCTTTGGGGAGTGAATCACTGGATGGAAGATTTCTCTCTCTGCCTCTCCCTCTCTCTCTCTGTAACTCTGCCTCTCAAATAAATAAATAAATAAATCTTTACTGTGTCATTTGAATCCATCCACCGACCCTGCTTAGTGCATGCAAGGTGCAAAGCATCGTGTGAGGGGCAGGAGAGGGCCACAGGTCCATCTGTTTGCAAATCGGGCTTTGGTGGAGCGTGAAGAAGGGCAGCCTGGCATTGTCCCCCAGTCCTGCTCACTCTGTGGCCCCACCAGTTTCGCTGCTAGCGCCACCCTGGACAAGCAGAATCCTCACAAAAGTCTCAGGAAAAGCGAAGCCAGGAGTCTTTCTCCTGTGATACAGCCTGGTTCAGTCACACCCAAATGCTCCACAGCCAGGCCCTCTTCCCTTAAATTGATCCCACCTCCTGTGGAGTTGCCAAGAGTGCAGGGGTGGGGCTTTCCATGGCACCTCCCCCAGCCCACCCGAGCTGTTCCTCACCACTGGGCAGGCACGTCCCCTCCTCTGCTGACAACCCCGGGGACAGGGGGATGGATGGCACCTTTCCTACCCTCCTCGGCCACCTTGCCAAGAGGCCATTTTCTCTCCCTGCTCTCCCGCAATTCTACTAACAAAAGTGCAACCCTAATTTGGCCGCTTTCGCACTCCAGGAGATCTGACACCTTCCTGGGAAGCAGCTGTGAGACACTGCCATCCTTCTCTCGTGGCCCAGCTATTAACTCAACAATCCCCAGGCCCAAGGGAGGTCAGCAGGGAAAAAAAAAAGAAAGAAAGAAAGAAAGAAAGAAAGAAAGAAAGAAAGAAAGAAAGAAAGAAAGAAAGAAAGAAAGAGTTGGAGGCAAACAGAGCCATCCTTGACCCAAGCTGCAACTTGGTGAGGCCCCTTAAAGACAGCCCCTGACCACCAAACTTTCCACGATACAGACTGAGCCGGGAACCCAGGGTTCCTGGGAATCTAATGCTTTCGGTAATGCGTGATCGCCATAGAGATCACGCAGGGAGCACTAAATGCCAAAGAATCAAATGCAGTACAACGTGTTTAATGGCAAAATGCGACTGGCCTTAGCGTGATCACTCTCTGATGGTCTGGAAGACGCTTCAGGATTTCGCGAGGCCTCCAGGCCACCATCATGAGCCCGGATCACCACCACGCTCGCCCACGTGCTGAGCTGCCAGTGACTAGAATGTCAGATCGCTGAGTTCACACAGTGCCCCTTTTCCCCATTCCCTCTAATTTGCATGGAAATCTGAGTGAGCCAGGGCAACCGTCTCGGGCTGAAAAAAAGACAGTAGTGGCTGGAAAGGGCTGTTTTTATTTCAACCTTGGGGCTGACTACACAGTCAAGGAGGCACACATGATGACGCCTGCCATGTAAGACACCAAGACTAGGACCCACAGGTTAAGAATATGTCCGAGATGGGCCCCCACGACCACGAGATACCGGAGCTTGGCGTAGAACCAGCTTTCCTGGGGCCGGCACTGTGCATAGTGGGCTAAGCCTCTGCCCGCAGTGCCAGCATCCCATATGGGCGCCAGTTCAATTCCTGGCTGCTCCTCTCCCGATCCAGCTCCCTGCTTACGGCCTGGGAAAGCAATAGAAGATGGCCCCAGTGCTTGGGCCCCTGCACCTGCATTGGAGACCCAGAAGAAGATCCCAGCTCCTGGTTTAGGATGGGCCCAGCTCCTGGTTTAGGATGGGCCCAGCTCCAGGCGTTGCGGCCATTTGGGGAGTGAATCAGCAGATGGAAGACCTCTCGGTGTCATAGGCCATTCCTCCTTTCACCACTGGTTCCCAACAAGAGATGTCAATGCCTAGGCTAATCCTCCGCCTAGCGGCGCCGGCACACTGGGTTCTAGTCCTGGTCGGGGCGCCGGATTCTGTCCCGGTTGCCCCTCTTCCAGGCCAGCTCTCTGCTGTGGCCAGGGAGTGCAGTGGAGGATGGCCCAAGTGCTTGGGCCCTGCACCCCATGGGAGACCAGAAGAAGCACCTGGCTCCTGCCATCGGATCAGCGCGGTGCGCCGGCCACAGCACGACGGCCGCGGCAGCCATTGGAGGGTGAACCAACGGCAAAAGGAAGACCTTTCTCTCTGTTTCTCTCTCTCACTGTCCACTCTGCCTGTCAAAAAGAAAGGAAGGAATGAAGGAAGGAAGGAAGGAAGGAAGGAAGGAAGGAAGGAAGGAAAAGAAAATAATCCTAACATCGTGGCTAATGTCCCTGCTCCCACCTGGAGCCAGGAGCCAGGCAAACCTGGCCCAGTGAATCCGATTTCCAACTCTTCCCCGGGGCCAGTGGTGACACTGTTCATACAGATGTCTACCTTTCTTTCCAGGGAACATGCCATACCCTCGGTCACACTCACCAGACTGACTGCGCGTCCGGGTACTCAGAACCACAGGGATGAAGTCACGGAAACTGCTCTTTGCTTTCTTTTCCATGGAGCCTAGAGTGACGTGCGGTTTTGGGGCAGAAGGCAGAAATGTCAGAATCAGAGTCTACAAACTGGAAAAGCCCATCTGAGCAGCTCAGGTGAGAAACTCAAGGGAGAGTCTGTGCTGACCCTCTGGTTACCCTGGGTTATGTCTATTACCTCGCCTGATGCTGCTATCACGTATGGATGTCTGTTAGGTAATAAGCAGTTCCCAGTGGTTTTTGCAAACGAAGTTTGAGCTGCCTTCTTTGGTGTCAGCACAAATGGCCAGAGAATCAATTCGACAGTATACCAAAAAGTGGAAGGCCCGGCTGCCTGTATGAGACGGAGGCTGCAGGACCTCCACAGAGTTAGAACTGAGCTGCAGGCCGGCACCGCGGCTCACTAGGCTAATCCTCCGCCTGCGGCGCCAGCACACCGGGTTCTAGTCCCGGTTGGGGCACTGGATTCTGTCTCAGTTGGCTCCTCTTCCAGTCCAGCTCTCTGCTGTAGCCCAGGAGTGCAGTGGAGGATGGCCCAGGTCCTTCGGCCCTACACCCGCATGGGAGACCAGGAGGAAGCACCTGGCTTCTGGCTTCGGATCAATGCGGTGCGCCGGCCGTAGCGGCCAGAAAGAACTGAGCTGCAGCAGGTCCCCGAGCAGTGCAACCTCAATGAATCTCAGAGGACCGCGTAAGGCAGGAAGATGGGAGCAGGGAGCAGGCAGGTCATGGCAAATGGGCAGACCATGAACATGGACTACTGTGGTAAGGAATGCTAGGGGTTCTCTCCGTGACGGCACCAAGAACTCTCTGTGGCAATGCGTGCAGGTCAAGTACATACTTCCCCAAACATCTGTGTGTCTCTGAATGATAATAAGGCTGTAGGATTTTGCTAAGCCCTTCTAGCCAGATAGCTAGCTTATTTCTCTTTCTTGGACAAGAATTTTCCAATATACCCCAAAGTAGAGAAAACTGTATCACGAACCTCCGTTTGCCCCATTCTGCTAAGTCCTCCCTAAACCCGTTTCCTCGTTGAGCCTGAGCCCACTGCTGAGAAATGGGCTGGTTACTCTGAGAACCACCTCCTTCGGCCTTCAAAACGTGCCTTGTTCTAGCACCGAGGGGGGGACTACAGCCCTGCTCCCTCCTGCCTTGCCTTTGACTTCAGGGGCGTCCATCTCCCCTGCGAAGGAAAGACGTCCCACTCCCACTTTGCCAGTCCCTCTCAGAGCCCCCTCCCCTCGCCGACACGAGGGAGGCTCGAGGGCCTACCTTCCTCAGGAGCCTCGGCTCGCTTTCCTGGGGACTGGGACTCCGGCTTTGCTGGCTTCCGGTGCTTGTGCTTTCCCCTGACTCCGTTGTGCTCTTTTCCTGAATCTGAAGACCCCCTGGGGCTTTTCTTGGTGAGTTCCTGGGGGTCACTGGACGGCTTCCGGCACTACGGGGGAGGTAGGGAGAGTAAGGTTGAAAATCAGTTTTGCTTGTCTTTTTTCAATATTTATTGAGAGGGAGAGAGCAATGGAGAGAGATGTTCCACCTGCTGGTTTAGTCCCAAAATGCCTGCAATATTCAGTTCTGGCCCAGGCCAAAGCCAGCAGCTTGAACTCCATGCAGGTTTCTGACGTGGGTGCAGGGGCCCAAGGACTTGGGCCATCTTCTGCTCCTTCCTCAGGCACATTAGCAAGGAGCTACATCAGAAGTGGAGCAGCCAGGACTGAAATCGGTGCTCATATGGGACGTGGGTGTTGCAAGCAGTGGCTTAACCCACTAATGCACAATGTTAGCCCCAGTTTTGCTTAAGAAAGCTCTTCCACCGTGGCTCACTAGGCTAATCCTCCGCCTAGCGGCTCCGGCACACCGGGTTCTAGTCCTGGTCGGGGCGCCGGATTCTGTCCTGGTTGCCTCTCTTCCAGGCCAGCCCTCTGCTGTGGCCAGGGAGTGCAGTGGAGGATGGCCCAAGTGCTTGGGCCCTGCACCCCATGGGAGACCAGGAAAAGCACCTGGCTCCTGGCTCCTGCCATCGGATCAGCGCGGTGCGCCGGCCGCAGCGCGCCGGCCGCGGCGGCCATTGGAGGGTGAACCAACGGCAAAAGGAAGACCTTTCTCTCTGTCTCTCTCTCTCTCACTGTCCACTCTGCCTGTCAAAAAAAAAAAAAAAAAAAAGAGAGAAAAAGAAAGCTCTTCCAGGGGCAGGTGTCGTGGTGCAGTGGGTTAAGCCACTGCCTGGGATACTGGCATCCCATATCGGGGTGTGGGTTCAAGTCCCAGATGCTCTGCTTCAGGTCTAGTTCCCTGCTAATGGATCCTGGGAGGCAGCAGATAACAACCCAAGTAGTTGGACCCCTGCTACCCACAAGGGAGGCCCAAATGCAGTTCTGGGTTCCTGGCTTCAGCCTGGATCAGACCTGGCATTTGGGTAGTGAACCATTGAATGGGAAAAATCTCTCTTTCCCCCCTCCCCCTTGTAAATAGAAGTAAAAAAATAAATAACCATAAAAAAACTCTTCCTGGGTGGAGCCATGTGCCTTGTTTCTGATACATGGACATGAACTGCCCAGGGTGGGAGCCCAGGGGAAAGGAGCCATCTGCTACCTTCCCCAGTGGGCAGCAGAGGCTCTTTTGGACCAAATCCAGTTCCCTGAAGGACTCCCCCCTAGGCAGCCCTACCCTATCACTTTAAAGAGTCTACAGGGTCTGCATTCACATGCCATTGGGTAATCATCCAAAGTCACTGTAAAAGATACAAAGTCAAGCTCCGTAACACTCTATATCCAAACAGTGCGAATGCTTCTTCTGCAAGCTGGGTGACTACATTGTTCAAATAACTTTGCTGTGAATGGTACTGACGCTAACAACTGAAAATTATTCTTGGTATGGGCCAAAACGGTCTGTTTTCATGTGTAAATTAATACCAGAGAAGAGATCCCACCAAGGCAAAAAGAAAAACATGACACGGGAGCAAGTGAGACCTCCCCAGACTTAGAAAGCACGAGGCAAAGGCCGAGGTATTAGTAATAATGCCACTTCAGACTGCAGCACTTTCGACTTTGCAAAGGGCCCTCAGCGCCATTATTTGATTTTATCTTCCCGCCAACTCTGAGAAGGCTGCTGTTATCCACACTGAACGAACACACGAGGAAACTGAGGCTCCAGGATAAGAGGCTGAAGGATTCATCCAGGGCAACTGGATTCCAGTGCACCCACCACCCAGGGGCTGGCTGCCTGACCAGTGGACAGCTTGCAAGTTAGCTCATTTGCATTGCAAAGAGAAGGACTACAGGGCGTCTCCTGGCCCCCAGCCTGGGACTCCTGGCGTCAACTCTCACTACCTCTCCTTCCCCACTCTCACCTGTTGCCTGGGGCATCCCACAGGGGTGATGGCTGCGAGGCTGCTTGCAGCCTAACAGTCACCAGCATTCACAAGCTTTGAGGTCTTGCCATGCCACTCAACAAGAAATAGGGCAATGTAGGCATCTCCAGTATTCTGAGAAGCAGGGAGTGTGGAATAAGCAAAATGTTTAAATGGTGAAAGCAGGTCCTAGCAGGAAAGGAAGAGTTAAACCTGCTGGAGTTGTTTTTCCCCTAAGCAGACCTGTGCCTCACCTCTGGTAAGTTACCACAGTCTAGCTCCAGCTAAGGAGATGGCAAATATCTTACTGACCAAACATCTGGGGTGGGGCGGGGGAGAGGGGGTCTCAGTTCTCCAGGGACAGGGAGTCACCAAACTCCTGGGACTTCCTCTAGGCCATCAACTCCTCCTGCTTCTTGGTCCACAGAAGGCTGAGCTGAACATTCAAGCTCGGTTTCTCCCTCCTTGCTTGCTGCCAGTTTCTACAAACCAAAGTGTCAGGAGATAGAGCTGGGGAGGAAAAGGAAGATGGGGAACAGCTGCTCACAAGCGGACCTTCAGGTATGACCAGAGAGAAACTACTTGAGGTCAGGAGGAACAGAGCTAAATGCACATGAATTGGAACAAGTCCTATTTATTCCTGAATATTGTTTTTAGCTGCTGCTTCCAAGAACAGATCATTAACTTTTACTTCCTAAGATAGACGAAAACAAGTAAAACAGAACATCTAGAAGAGATTTCTGTCCATGGCAGCACCGAAAGTAAAAATATATTGTGTACTCCAACTTATGCAAAAAGTTGGGAGGATGGGGAGACCAGATAAGATGAATGCTCCAGTTAAGAGTTTCGAACCATTTTCCAAAGAATGGGGAGACACTAAAATGCTCCCAGCGACAATGAAGCAGAACTCTCTGCTGATGACCCAGCAGACCCTTTAGGAACCCGAGAGGGCGTGGGCAGGTGGATGGTGCAGGTCACAGGAGACTCTCCTGATCCTCAGCCAGGTCCTAAAAGGGACCACTCTGAAGTAACCCTCTGAACTTAGTTTGCTTACCAACTATTTCCTTCTTAAGAAAATGGGACGACATCATCATCATCAAAAAGAGCTAAGTTGGTTGCTCTCCTGGAAAATGGACATTTACCAAATCATTACAGGCAGTTACTAAGGGCTGGGCTGCATCCAGGCCCCTGACTATGTAACTTCTTCTCTGCCCTCTGCATTTGTCAGTGGGCCCGCTGAACTGTTAATCTCTTATAGGAACGGGTGGTGTCTCTTGCCATTGAGGACAGGGGCCATGTCTTCTTACTTTGTCTGTAATACTCACAATAATAATGGTAGTCACTAACTTTAACTGAGCACTTACTATGTGCCAAGTACTAATCTAAGTGCTTACTATCTGCCAGGTACTTACACAAATCAAAGTACTTGCATATATCACCTCATTTAATAATTTCTTAACAACAGCTTTAGTGAGCTGAATCACACAATTCACTATTAAAGTATACAATTCAGCTGTTTCTAGTACAGTCACAGATATGTGTAACTATCACCACTTATCTAGTTCTGGAACTTTTCCATTACCCCATATGGAAACCCTATACCTATTAAGCAGTCAATACTCAGTTCCTCCATCCTTCCCAACCCTAGGCAACCACTAACTTACTATCTGTCTCTATGGATTTGCCTATTCTGGAAATTTCATATCATCTCATTTAATCTTTGCAACCACCCTATGAATAAACACTACGATTATCTTGTACAGGGTAAGAAAACTGACAGCCAGGTAAAGAAAACAGCTTGACCAACGTCACACAGCTGGGAAGAGGTGTGACCAAAAATCAATCTCAGGCTCTATGCCTGCCTCCAGAAAACACACTCCTCACGAATCCAACATCCACCTCCTGAAGACGCATTCCCCTGCCTGGAAGGGACGGGCATATAGTAGTCAATCAACAAACATCTGATAAATGTTCAGTGAGACAGCTGTAGGTAAGGAAGTAGAAAATGGCGTGGCACAGCTGAAGGACATGGGTTCTGCAGCCAAAGAGCGTGGAGTTCTGGCTCTGCCACTCCACAGCTGTTAACTGTAACTTCTCTCCGAGCCTGTTCCCTTCATTTTCTCACCTGTAAACTGAGTGTGGCATTCCACACACAGAGTTACTATAAAGACAAGTAGATAGGGGCCGGTACCGTGGTGCAGAAGGCTAAGCTGCCGCCTGCAGTGCTGGCGTCTCATATCGGTGCTGGTTTGAGTCCTGGCTGCTCCACTTCCTATCCAGCTCCCTGCTAACGGCTTGGAAAAGCAGTGGAAGATGGCCCAAGTGCTTGAGCCCCTGCACCCATGTGGGAGACCCAGAAGAAGCTCCTGGTTCCTGGCTTTGGCATGGCACAGCCCTGGCCATTGCAGCCATTTGGGGAGTGAACCAGTGAGTGGATGGAAGACCTCGCTCTCTTTCTCTCCTTCTCTCTTTGAAATAAATAAATAAATAAATAAATCTTTCTTAAAAATTAGAATTTCTTAAAAACACACAATTAGATAAACATATGTAGAAAGCACTCGGTATACAGGAGGAAGTCAATGAACAGTACCAATTCTAATGATATAAATTAATATTATTATCACTACCAAGAGCAGGTCGCAGTTACCTGAGCAAACATCATCTGCTCTTCTACGTCATGACCTACATTCCTCCTCTGTATGTTGCCAACGTACAGGGGTGGTAGTGGGGCTACTGAGTCAAATGTGCCCAAATTCGATTCCAGGGATTCTTAACCTGGGGTCCGCGGGTGGGCTTTGGGGAGGGGTTGAGTCTATAAACCCAGAGAAAGTACTGGCAGAAATCTGAGGCCGTGTTTCTGCTGACAGGCTTCATGGTCCTCATCAGCTTCTCCAAGTGGTCTATGCTCCAAAAAAAGACTATGAACTTGGCACCATGAACAAATTCAAGGCTCTCTAGTTAGAAAACTGTACTTTGGGACCAGTGCTGTGGTGCAGTGGGTTAAGCCTCTGGCCTGCAGTACCAGCATCCCTTAAGGGAGCCGATTCAAGTCCTGGCTGCTCCACTTCCGATGCAGCTCCCTGCTAACGCACCTGGGAAGGCAGCAGAAGATGGCCCAAGTCCTCAGGCCCCTGCACCTGTGTGGGAGACCTGGACAAACCTCCTGGCTCCTGGCTTCAGAATGACCCAGCTCCAGCCATTGCGGCCATTTGGGGAGTGAACCTGCAGATGGAAGACCTCTCTCTCTCTCTCCCCCTCTGTCCATCTATAACTCTGCCTCTCAAATAAACAAACCTTTTCAAAAAAGAAAAAGAAACCTGTCCATTGATGCCTATCAATATCTGATTTGAAGCCTTGTTAAGAGAACTTCCAACGGCTCCATATGCTGAATAAACCCTATTCTCAACAGCTTTGAGGATCTCCTTGGATCACCAATGGTCTAGCAGCTCCTTTCAGGAGGAATACATTCAAGTATCATGCTCCTGGCCACCTTTCTGCCTAGCACTCTGCCACCATCCACAGCCTATGACGAGCCAAGACTCAAACGCCCTCTCGCCTTACCCGCCAAATTCCCAGTGAGCCAAAACCCAAATCTGCCACCTCAAGCATGAGAGCACGAGGAAACTGGTGGATTAGCCCGGAAAGCACACTGGCTCTGACCCCACGAGACTCCATGCAAATCCTTAGCAGGCGCCCCCAGCAGTACAAAGAATGACCCCGCCTAAGGCCCCTTCCCTCCCTGGGCCCCAAGTCCTCAAGGCCAGCAGTGAACTTGGTATAGGAAATGGAAGAACAGTTATCCAGGGAAGAGCCTGTTATTTCCCTCACCAATACCCTCTTCCACTCTGCAGCCTCATCTAGGACAACTGCTTCCCTAACCCCAGCAACAGAATCACCTCCCACACTCTAAAACACACAAGGCAGCCTTGGTCCCAGGCTAACACCATCTAATATGGGGAATGGGACTTAGAGAGGGGATGGGGGATGGCCTAGCGGTGAAGACTCACGAGACCCACGCTGAAATACCGGGTTCAACCCGACTCCAGCCTTGTGCCATTGCAGAGCCTGGCAGGGCACAGTGGTGCCAGCTCAAGTAGTGGCATTCCTGTCACTCACACGAGACACCTGGATGGAGTTCCCAGCTCCTGGCCTTGGCTCCCATTCAGCCCTGCCCATTGCAGGCATTTGGAGAGTGAACCAGATTATTGGAACGTGTGCTTGCTCGCTCTCGCTCCCTCCCCCCCACCCAATAGATAAATAATTTTTTTAAAATGGTTAAGGTGGCAGATTTCTAAAAAAAAAAAAAAAAAACAAAACAAAGACAGGGGCTGGCAGGTCATTATCTACTTGATGGAGGTCTTCCAATCCTTTCGGTTCACACAGCTACTCAAGGACTGCGCTATGCACTCTGGGTCACAGGCAGCTGAGCTCTGCAGAGCTCAACAGACCCCACCCTTCACCTCAGCCCGGGACTCACCTTGGGTCCAACAGAACTCCGGACTCCGGGCTTAGCCTGCGGCTGCTGCTGCTCTTCACCTTCCTTCTCTTTGCCACACTTCTTCTTGGGAGGCACAGATTCTGGCCCGTCCTCGGGCTGCCACTTGTTCTTGCAAGCAACAACCCCCATGCTTTCCCGTTTCACGCGAGCCTGCCCGGCCTTGGGCCTCCCTTCCGCCTGGCCCCGCGGGGGAGCAGCTGGGAGGCCTTCGGCCCGGAAGCAGGGAGCTAAATTGAAGACCACATCACCATCTACCTTCTCCGTTTTCACCCGCCCTAGATCCACCTGGTTCTTGCTGCTCGGAACCACGTCCAAGATGAGTTCCTGGGGGTGGCTGTCATGAGGTAGCAAAGGCAGCTCAGGCATGTTGCGCAGGTTCTGAGGGGTGGCCAGGACCAGCTCATGGGACATGTAGGTGGCCAGCACTTGGTTCTTAGGCTTCGTGTCTCCTGCCAGTTTCAGGCCACAAGCACCCTGGGGGCCCTCCATCTTAGGAGTGCTGTCAGGGCAGAGGTGACTCTCTGATTCCTCGGGCCCCTGATTCACCCTCATGTCCCCACCGCTAGGCTGAACAGACAGCGCCAGGGTCCCTGTCTGAGGGCTGAGAGTCAAGAGGACAGGGCTGACTTGGTCTTCGTAAGGCTTGGCAGCGATCCGGCAAGTTTTGCTCTTTGTGACAGCGTCCTGCTCTGGAGTGAAAGGGCCCCCAGGCCGGGGCTGCCCGTCAGGAAGTCCGTGCACGGCTTCTCCGGAGCCCACGGGCGGCACACCGGAAAACTCCGAAACCACGCTGGTGGGTCTGATGGGCACCCCCTGACCAGGAGTCAGCTGCCCAGCACTGGAAATGCCAATGGAAAGCAGAGACGCTTGGTGGTATGGTGACCAGCCAACAGGCAGGACCTGGGTGCTGGTGGGTTTCCCGTTGACTGAACACCGTGGATAAATATTGGCCGGCCCCGTGGGCTTCCACAGAGAGAGCTCCTTGGTTTGGCATCCTGGCAGCCCCGGGGCAATGCGCGCCGGGGTGAAGCGGGTTTTGACTGTGCTTGGCTGTCCCTCGGCGCCAGCCTGGCTGCCCTTCTTGCCGCATGCGGCGCTGGCGCTCTTGGGCTCTCCTTGGTCGATGATGGAGATGGGTTCCTGCTTGGGGAGATGGCGGGGGTCTCGGGTGAGGCCTAGGTTGGGGTCTTTGTTCAGCAGCAGAGATGCAGGCACTGGGTTGGCCACTCCCACATAGGTGCCAGGAATGGTGCTGATGAGCGCGGTGGAGTTTTTCACCCAGGTGCTTGGGTCTCCGTTCCTCACGATCTCAGGAAATATGACAAAGGGGGAGGAGGTCGAGCCCAGGCAGGAGGTGACATTGCTGCCAGCAGCCTGGGTTGTGCGCTGAGACCTGGAGAGGACCGTGGAGAGGAGGGCCTTGCTGCTGGTGTGCACAGGGGTCAACACGGGCATGGGGGGTGTCTTACGCTGGTTCGGCAATGGAAGCTTCTGGCGGTTGGACTTGGAGGAGAGGTCGAGGGGCATCTCGCTGCACTCAGATGGAGAGGCCATCTCTCGCTCCAGTTGTGGCGGCGACTTGAGGGGCGAGAAGGTCACAGACGTCCCTTCTGTTTGCTGCTCAGCACCACCCGGCAGCTTGGTGGGATGCAGCGGGGCTGAGCTCCCACTGGGGGGCGGCAGCAAAGGCTGCGGGGCTGGAAGCACCTTGGCAGAAGCAGTGGTGAGGGAGGTATCTGCCAAAGGCCCAGGGACCCCGTCGGGCGCAGTCTGGGTGGCGATACTGCTGGACGGGGAGGTGCAGGGTAGCCTGTTCACCTCCAGGGAAACCAGCTTGGAATCTGAAGTCAGAGGCCGGGCCACGGAAAACGCATACGGGTAACACCGGAGCTCTGGGGAGGCCAGCACCCCTGGGAGACACCTGTCCTGCAGGTAGGACGGCAGGACTGGGAGCGTAAGAGTGGAAGAGACCCCCAGGGTGGTTGGCAGTGTGGCTACACTGAGTGGCTGTCCACAGCTCGGAGGGGGGATATAGACCAGTGGCTGGCTTGGGGTCAGCACTGTCCCCGGCTGAAAGGACAGGGGGACTTTTTGCATAGCTGGTGCCTGAGCTGTAGGAAAGCACACCCGACTCAAACTGAAGGAGGCCGGGATGGGTGCCGAGGTGGGAATGGCAGTTGGTGTGGCAGCCGGCATGGGTGTGGGGGCTGGGGTAAAGATTGG